TAAAATCTGTCAATATTGCTTTCAGTGGGTCACAATTAGCGATGTTACGACTCGTGAGTGCTCACTCTGAGTGAACGCTCACGAATCATAAGATCGCTTACTGTGACGCTCTGAGAGCGAAACTGACAGGTTTTATGAGTCAAACACATACTTTACACCCTCTTCATCATCTAATGATTGTATAATTCCGAAAAATATGTTTTTATAGCAAGTGAGTGGAAGCAAACCTGGCAGAAATACAGTACTTCAGAAAACTTAACAGAATGTTAATGAAAAATTTGAAACTAGAGGGTAGATCGTAAATCTACTGAAAAATCTGCAGATTTTAAATCAAATTTCAGAATTTGATTGAGGTTCTCGGATTTAAAGGGAAATTTACAGAACTTCAGGAAAGTTTGCTGATCTTTAGCGATATTTGCACAACTTCAGATCTTCAGAGCACTTCCTTAAACTTCCGGGAAGCTCAAAAACTTCTTGATATTTTTTATACTTTAGGGAATTGTGTAGATGTTAAGAAATATTTGCAGATATTCATTGAATCATGAAAATCAACAGAGAAAATTACAGAACTTTCGAGAAGTTTGTAGATTATTAGAAATTTAGTGAACATGAGATAATTGTTGATATTTAAGGATCTTAAATCTGCATAGATTCAGGAACTTTGTAGATTTTTAGAAAAAAATGCAGAACTTCTGAAGAACACACAGAACATATCGCAGTTCTTGAAAGCCAAGATGAGCCAGATCCCTGCCGGTGTTCGTCTAGAGCAACGATTTCCCATTCCACAAAGTTCACCTTCTCCTTCTCATTTTATTTAAAATAATAAAAGCAAATACGCCTGCCGAAGCTAGAGCAATTTTCCGATAATTCATTATGGAAGTATTTACTTTTGATTCCTGAAACAGTTTTTTTTTTAAATCTTAATTGACAGTATTTAAGGTTTACACTTATGAGAGTGCAGAACATGTTTGAAGCTATGGGTGATGATTCTTTAATTTATTTTTCGGTTCGTTAATTGATTATTCGAATAAAAGCGGACACCACTAGATGAATGTGAAACGTCATTTTGACATCCACAGTCAATGTGAAATATAAGGGTCGTTCATAAATTACTAAACAATTTTGAAAGGGAGCGGGGTTAATAACAAGTGACGTCCCCACGATAACTGAAAAAAATCACGAGTCCTGACCGGTTGGTTAAAGGGTGATACGGTCAAAATTTGGTCAATATCAACTTGACGTATTTCTTTTAATTTTGCATTTAAAAAACCTGAACACCCCTCATTTTGAAGGTGTGTGTGTGTAGAATGTTGCTCCTATTTTGATTTTGGAATTCACTCTTCAGTTGTCAAAATGCCGTCCAAGCAAGAAGAGCAGCGTATCAAAATTTTGCTCGCGCATCGCGAAAATCCGAGCTACTCGCACGCAAAGTTGGCAAAATCGCTAAAAGTTGCCAAATCAACCGTTACAAATGTAATTAAAGTGTTTGGGGAACGTTTGTCGACAGCCAGGAAGTCTGGATCGGGGGGAAATCGAAAACCGGAAGCCGCTGAGACGACAAAGAGAGTTGCCGGTAGTTTCAAGCGAAACCCTAACCTCTCTCTCCGAGATGCCGCAAATAAGCTGGGTGTATCGTCTACAACCGTGCATCGAGCCAAAAAACGAGCCGGACTATCGACTTACAAGAAGGTAGTGACTCCAAATCGCGATGATAAACAAAATACGACGGCCAAAGCGCGATCCCGGAGGCTGTACACGACGATGCTGACGAAGTTTGAATGCGTGGTAATGGACGACGATACCTACGTCAAAGCCGACTACAAGCAGCTTCCGGGACAGGAGTTTTATACGGCAAAAGGAAGGGGAAAGGTAGCAGATGTTTTCAAGCACATGAAACTGTCAAAGTTCGCAAAGAAATATCTGGTTTGGCAAGCCATCTGTACCTGTGGCTTGAAAAGCAGCATTTTCATAGCTTCCGGGACTGTCAACCAAGAAATTTACGTGAAAGAGTGTTTGAATAAACGTCTGCTGCCTTTCCTGAAGAAACACGGTTGTTCCGTACTGTTTTGGCCGGATTTGGCATCTTGCCATTACGGTAAAAAGGCCATGGAGTGGTACGCCGCCAACAACGTGCAGGTGGTTCCCAAGGACAAGAACCCTCCCAACACGCCAGAGCTCCGCCCAATTGAGAAATACTGGGCTATTGTCAAGCGGAACCTAAAGAAGACCAAAAAAACTGCTAAGGGCGAGCAGCAGTTCAAGGCAAACTGGCTTTCTGCGGCGAAGAAGGTGGACAAGGTGGCTGTACAAAATCTGATGGCAGGGGTCAAGCGTAAGGCCAGGCGATTCGGATTTGGAAAAGCGGAAGCCTAACTAAATATTTTTCCTGAATTTTATACTAATTGAACTTGAAAAAGAAATTTAATTTGATTTTTTAAATAAACGATTTCACCGATTTACACGCGTTTTCCCTTGACCAAATTTTGACCGTATCACCCTTTAGATGGTGTTACATTCTTGTCCACTGCGTCATGTACATATGAAAAGGTGTAAATGTAATATAATATATTAATCAGTGGCGTTTCCTTAACCTCAATCTACCTGAACACCAACTCTCAAAACAAACAATTATCAAAATATTGCTGGCAATGGATAGATATCGAGTAAACTAGAAAATTATGTGTATTTTTCAACCTATTCGAGTATGAATAAGGCATTAAATCTGGTTTTGAAAGTTGGTGCACAGGTAAAAAGTGAGGTTACGGGACGCCACTGATATTAATAAACCTATTTAAAAACATACAACAATGAAACTGGAACTCAGTGTCCAGGATGTGTGCTCTAGAAAACTTGAAGTGATCGTGCATATCAGCCATTTCATCATCATGACTTTTCAAGGAATCACCTTAACAATTTCATGTTCCCTTATTTTTCATTGACATGAGTTCATCCGCCGGATGTAAAGTATCAATAATTAACAACAATAACAACAATTTTCCAAGATTCATATGCCACGAATACACTTGTACGACAAACTATGAACATGAGCATTATTTGTATAATAAATTATGAGCACATCCATGGTCACACTTGTATAGTTTTTTGTATAGTTGTTGTATAGTGCTCATAATTATTATACAAATAATGCTCATGCTCATAGATTGTCATCCAAGTGTATCCGCGGCAATAGAGATCTCCAAGCGCAATCTCACGAACACTAAAATCCAACATCCATACATAAAAATAAAGAAGAAGAAGAAACAAAAAGGTATCGCGATATCACAACTACTTAAAAAGGTAGCGCGCGGTCTCACGCACACTTTTGTGCATCTGGAGAACTCTATAATGTGAGACTTTTAAATGTCATGCCCAAATATAACCTATCTTCACTCCGCGCATTTTGCCGACTTTCAAATTATGTATTCTATTTGTTTCATTACGGCGCATTGGGACCTGCAAAGAGCTGATAGAACGAGCCGCTTCGTTGCAATGCATCGCATTTAAAAACAAAAGTCTCATATAACAACAAAGTAGGTTTCAGTTTGCTGACTTTCATACGCTATTGTCTTAAGTATTACATAGTCTCGTAAAGGTAGTTCCAATCTTCCTTCGGGTTTCTATCTGCATTTACCACCTACTAAAATTTAGTAGTTTGACCAGTATGTCCGCGTTCCCCTTTTCGGTAGAAATAACTTCCCTCAATTCACGTTGCATGCATGAGTAAATCTAAACTTGCCCAGAGAGACATACCTACCTACAACACTCCGGTCAGGCCATTCCATTTGAATCGTAGTCGCACTAAAAATAAAGCCTGACTCATCATTGCAGGTTGATCGGTTGAGAAGCCGTCCATGCATTTGTTAGCAACGCTGATTCAGTGATGACGACGTAGAGTCCACGTACACGCAACGTTCGCTAACTGAAAGAGACTATTCGAATATTATTAAAATTCCACCTTACCTTATAGCCGAGCATCATGTTACTATTATTATTACATGAATGTTATTTTTACATAAATCAAAAAGTCCCTTTCAGTTAGTCAACGTTTAGTGTACCCATATTGATAGGAAACTTCTCATCCATAAATCGCTTCTCAACAGTCTTCATAACAAATTTACGATAGTGCATGCATGAATGTGCTTCCGCTTCCCGTTTCGTTGTATTAGTTGCTTTCAATGCGATTGGCGTACCGCAGAATTAAGGTCAATGCAAACATTCAAAAACACGTCATCACCCGCCGTTCGCAGGTTTGGCGTCCCAGCGTAGAATTAAGGAAAAGAAGCAACTACATCATCATCAGCATGTCGCTTTACCTTCCGTGGCTAACCCTGATGAAGTAGACAGCATTCTTGCTGATGAACAACAGGGAACGATTGATCCTGAGGATCAAGATTTTGAAGTTATTCCTATCAGCGCTGTCGACGATAGTGTTAGGCTTGAGCAAACCGGTTCCGATAATGCTAGTAGCGTCATACAGAAGAAGACCGTTCGGCTCGAAGGTAAGTGTATTCAGAGAAGTTTTGATGAAATTTAAATTTCTTGTATGCTAACGCCGAGACCTGGAGAGTCACATGATGTGGTTCGAAATTTGAGACGACTCGTAGAAGCGGTCGCGCCTAGATGCATCACCACGTATAACAATGATGTAAGATGTAGGAAGAAGAGCACACGTGATTTCGTCAGTTGCTCTTAGAACAAACAGCAATTAGTGTCATCGTGTGGGATGTATCAGCAACAATCCACATTTTAAATAGCGATAATTTAGTTGTTCAATTGACACAGGAATGTGGGTTACCATGTTGGGAATTTAAGATAATTATTCCAAAACACAATTAGCTGACTGAACTGTAAGCTAGTTTTTACATATTGTCTGTAATGTTCTGGGTCGTCTACAGCAAACTACCGTCAGTGAAATCGATTTTGCCTCATTCTACATAATCAACCCCTTTGGTTTTCACATTTAACCCACTTTTTTTTCCGTTCGCATCGCACACACACAGCTCTTGACACCGAAGACAAATTGGAGTACCAATTCTACCCGGCCAGCAATGGTGTGGTCAACTTCAAGGTACGGGCAGCGAACGATGCCCACGTGGCTCTGACCAGTGGCCCGATGGAATCCGAACCCATGCTGGAGGTATTTATCGGTGGGTGGAAGAACACCAAATCCGTCATCCGCAAAAACCGCAGCAAACCGGACGTGTGCGAGGTGGAAACTCCTGACATCCTAAACCCGGGCGAGTTCCGTGGTTTCTGGATCAAATGGATAGATAATGTAGGTTAATAATCGCCATGATCATCCTTACGTGTTATAATAGTACAACGACTCATTTCGTTTCAGGTCATCACCGTTGGTATGGAGGGAGCAGCTGCGGCGTTCCTATCCTATGAAAACCCAGATGCATACGACATCAATTTTGTCGGTGTGTGCACCGGATGGGGAGCGACCGGATCGTGGATCATTGAAAAGAACGACCAACCGGAAGCAGCGGCTCAGGTTTCAGTCGGTGGTGGTGCAGCTTGCTGGGTACCAGCGCAAAACGGAGAAATTCCACCGAATGCCTTCGTCGGAGGTGCCGACGGGGAAGATATGTATGTCATCCGTGCTCAGCATGAGGGAGCCATCATTCCCGGCAAACTGCTGGCTTCGCATGGTGTTGCCTACGTTGCTTGGGGTGGCGTTGAAAACCCAAAAACGGAATACGAGGTTCTATGCGACGCAAACGGTACATTTGTTCCGGTCAGTGGTGGAGACATTCCTCCGAATGCCATCCCTGCCGGCGAAAGCGAAGATGGTGAGCCTCTCTTCATTGGGCGTGTATCGCACGAAGGTACCAATACGGTTGGAAAGGTTCAGCAATCGCACGGAGTGTGCTACATTCCCTTTGGCGGACAGGAGCTATCATTCGCCGATTACGAGATCTACGTTAGCCAGTAGACGCAGGATCGTCCACTTTGTTGGGTATGAATTTTCACGCAGCCGCCTTATGCAAGTGAAATGGCTTTTAGATCTGATTCGTCTATAAGGTCTGTTTTGTCGGATAGAACGTTCGCTCGTACGTACTGCTTGTAACCACAGATGCCTGCACAAACTTATTTATTGTTGATTCATAAAATAATAATATCAGTTAAATATAACCACATGCTTCCACAAATGCCTACGCGCATTGGAGTGTTTTTATTCCTGTTGAGAAATTACAGCATTACAGTATTCGTACCAACAAAGGGCTCTGAGCAAAACCAGCCTAAAATTTACTAGGGCACCCAATAATCGCAATGCGATGTGGCCGTGAAGCTTTCCCTACGGAAATGCCAATACTATCACATGTCAGTCCCATGTGCGTTTTCATCAATTAATAGCACTGTTCGCTATCAAATGGCATCTTCTTTGGTGACTTTTATGTATTCACTTTACGGTTTCAAATAATGATTGGTGTAAAAGGGTATTTCAAATTATATACTTTTTATTTCTCACTTGTTATAATTTCTGAAAAATATAAATTGCCTCCGCTTACAGCTGCGGCTCAAGTTCGAATGACCTGGATTTATTCTGTCTCTAAGGAGAGAGTATTTTAGTATAGTATCTCTTTAATCATCTAATACACTCTTAATGTTATTTAATCAAAACTGAGTTGCTTCAGTAACATCAAAGACCTTGTTCTCGATCATCTCTTAGTGATCTACCACCGAAATCTTGCCTTCAAAGTTGCAAAGACTCATTTCAGCTAAAATAATGTTTTTCGGAATAATAAAACCAAAAGATGGTATGATGGCATGTTTTACTCGTAACTTACAAAAAGAGGTTACAAAGTATGCGTTGGAAACATAAAACCTGTAAATTTTGCTTTCTATGAGTCACAATCAGCGATTTGCTGATCGCTGAGTGAGTGAGTGAGTTTGTGAAAAATCGCTGACTGTGACTCTTATGAAGTGAAATAAACAGGTTTAATATGTCAAACACATTCTTTGCAACCTCTTCTTGTATCCTACCCATTCAAAATTTGATAATGGCATCTAATTATTTCATAATTTAGAAAAACATTGTTTTAGCTGAAATGAGTCTTTGCAACCTTGCTTGCCTTAACTTTGCAAACTATAGTGACAGTTTTTTATAGTTGTCATTACGTTTGAGCCTTATTGATGGTGACAAGAATCGGATCACATCCGCTGAGGATGATCTTTAAACAAGGAAAAATGAGTTAGCCTTCTGCTTAATTAGGTACTAATTTTCAACCCGATGTTCTCTAGCTTGAAGTGGCCAAGACTAGGCTTCTTATGCATGGTCAATTCAATATCGGTGTCATTGCTTGTTTTGTCGCCAAGGAATCAATTTGATGGAATAATAGGGCATGTACTACTAAAGACATGGTATATAGTGTCATAACAGTTAAAAACTGAAGAAAAAACCTCACTTGTATAACGCTGTTTAACTTGTAAATCGGTCTCCGCTAGTGGATTTTTTTTTCCAATTTTCAGCTGTACCGACAATGCTACAATAAATACTACACTGGTTGCAGTGGATTTATAGTGAACCTTGTACCAAATAAAAAATATATCCATTTTCCTGCGAAATCACATCCCTAGAGATTAATGTGGAGAAGAAAATGTAGCCAGTCACCACAATAAGGAAAAGGAATAGGTGGTAAATTATTGCCATCAATCAACTAGTGAATAAAACTGATATTTAACCTCGTATTTAACATAAATTAGGTAACAAGTTCGTTGCATTAACCACCTGTCACCTAAAATAAGGAGCAATTTATATTCCACGTTTAAGAAAGAACTTGGTTATACAGAATACTTTATATTAAAAATGTAGATCACAGCACCCGCTACATCATGATTATGAAAAAAAAATGCTTAGTATCTACTTCAGTACAATTTATTTGTCAATCCTACCCTTACCGAAAGCTGATCCCAAAGCAAAGCGAAATTCTGTCTCTTCTAGCTCTAGTTAGACTTAATGTAAATTTCACTCCCAAACAGAAGCCGCTCTACTTCCTTTGTCTTGTGAGGGATATAGCACGTATCGTATGACCTCTGTATCTTTCCGCTGATCAACTGCCCTGACAGTGTCGCCCTGCCAATGTACAAAGGTTCACCTTGCTCGCTAATGCCACCGGGTGTTCCCCGCATGAGCGTATTAAACTCATCGATCTGGACAAACTCTCCCGGTGTGCAGAGTACCTCGTATTTCTCTCGTTTATGGTTCTTTCCACCCCAAGGACAGAAGCAAGCCTTCTTCTGCGGATTGATCGATCCCGGTGCTATGGAACTGTTTACCTCTGCGCGGCCCACGTACAACGTTACGTAGTCTTCGTATCCGGCGACGACCGCATTGTGTGGAATTCGCCCATTCGATGCCTGGACCCACGTCATTCCGTTCACCTCGTCCCAGCGTTTGAGAAACTTCCGGTTGTCGTACTTGTATGGCCGGTCCGCGTGAAAAGGAATGTAATCCCTGTAAAGGCTGGCTGAAATGTTCCTGTAAGAATTTGCTACTGAGTTGGGTAATGTGCAATGGAATACTCACCATAATGCACCATAATAACTAAAGCTTGTCTCTGCAATATGAGCAAGGTAAGCTGTATGACTAATATTCTGCACCCATGCACTTTAGTTTGGATGTTTTGATGTTTCTGTGGTTTCTGTCTATCGCGTCTATCGAGTTTCGCTCACTCATGAGAATTAAGTGAATTTCTATTTTCTCAGCTGCTCACCTCTACAGCGTGTTCGCCCAATGCTATAAATTTCAAATTCAAAACGTTCAAAACACTCGTCTCGCGAGCTTCTCGTGAGAGAGCCTTACTTCGCTGCACGGAGCATGTGAGAGATGATGCTCTCGTTTGGTTGGGGCTAGCAGGAACAGAACAGGCGACACTCAATTTTAGCACCAATCTAGATAAACATTTCAAAAGGTCCACTACTTTACAATCAGGTTTCGTACTATTTTTGGCACACACGCTAAGCACAGATAACCTTAATGTATGTAGATTTTTACTACACCAGACAAACCAAAATATGGTAATATGATATGAGGTAATGTTATCAAAATTTATTTTGTTAAACTCATATATGGATCATATTTACCCATATTTACACTGAAGCAAGGACCATAGTTCGGAATACTATTTTGCAGAAAACACTTACTTTCAATATAACCACGCTTATTAACGTTCAATCTACTATGATTTCAGTAAAGTTAACTATGAATATAAGCTAATTTACTATGACTCTGGCAAAACTACTTTGCTTGCTCAAAATACATAGTCATTTTGATAGAAATAACAGTAATATTAAATAAAATTGTTTTCTGCAAAAATCTATTGGTGAGGGTATTTAATTTAAACCAGCAATATAGTATTTTTGCCAATGGATTTTGTTTCAGTGTAGGTTAAAAAAAATCCCCACATTTTGGTTTGTCCGTTTTAGTCCAATATATCTCAAAAACTACCTATATGTAGGACTGTTCTTAGCATGCATAGTTGGATAAAGAAGGTTCTTATTAAGCGTCTAAAACGTCAAACACATCAGGGAATGTTTTTGCAGATGAGTAATTAAAGAAAGAGAAATACGATGAAGTGTTTCGATCACTGCAGATAGGACCATTTGAAATGTTCATCCAGCAATCTGAAATTTTTAATAATCCATCAAAAATATGACCCAAATTTTCGTTCATGCTCAAAATGCATTTGTAAAAAAAAAACATGGAAAATTCTAAAGGTGCGTTCAAGCATGGGAAAAAGCGTTCCATTTTGCATTTACTACGAGGGGGGCGACACATCTAAATCTCAAGTTTAGATGCTCAACAAATCTCACACTAGCGAATCTATCTTCGAAAAATCTTCTTTCATTTGTCGCATCTACTTGCATCGCGCATCATCTTCTTGCAGGAAATCTTCAGAATCGTCAACAATCTTCTTTCTATCTACTCAGCGTGCGTGCAGCTAGCCACAGCATAACAAAATTTTTTCTGCATCGTAGATAGAGTCGTCCCCCTCGATTTACTACTCACTCACACGCATACAACATCAGAAACGAACAGAAGCTTGTGCGAGCCGCACTGATTTCGTTCGTATTCGCATTGCTTGTATTTTCTTCGATGAACGCAGAATTGAGCAAAACAGACAGCTGAGCGTAACATGAATGATTCTGAGTGTAGTAGCAACAATCAATACGAAACTAACGATTTTAAATTGGCTCACCACTTTAGTAGCCTATTGGTCCCAAGCAAACGATTAACGTACCCTATTCTAGTTGAAATTCTATTACTACACTATGTTTGTTTTGATTCGCTATGAAAGTTTGACAGATAACATCAGGGGTGTGTGGATTCATGCAGAACATGCAGGGGTGAGTGAAATAGCTTGGGACTGCTTGGGACCGTTGTTCTGGTACTGAGTGAGCCAAAAATAATAATGATTTTCTTCGGGACCCAGTGGTCTTAGAGTTACCTCTATGGTAGTAGTATGGATGATTTCTCTTTTATTATTTTTGGCATGCTGCGTCTTTTTCGATTGCATTCTGCTGAGTGAGCTGAATGAGAATTTTTTCATAAGAATCACTTTTTATTTTCTAGCTTTAAACATACATTGACACATTTTAATTGCTGTTAATATGGAGAAAACGGTTATACCAACAATCAATACGAAACTAACGATTTTAAATTGGCTCACTACTTGACTAGCCTATTGGTCCCAAGCAAACGATTAACGTACCCCAATTCTAGCCAAAATTCTAGTACTACGCAATGTTTGTTTTGATTCGCTATGAAAGTTTGACAGATAAAATGAGGGGTTATTGGTTTTTCCTATGTTTCGAGGGGTGAATCGATTAGCTTGGGACCGAAGAGGGTACCAGAGCTGAGCCAAAAAGTTGAGCACGTTAGTTCGGGATCTTCTAGTCTTAGAGTTACCTCTATGGTTATACTGTAACACATAAATATAAGCGTCAAGCAAATACCGTAAAACTGCTGTGGCCAATTCAACTGATTTAAATCAGTGAGCCAAAAACTATCTTACTCGGCTATTTAAATCGTTAGCATTCGGATTTTACGCATTCAATCTGCACACAAAACAAAAAGATTGTGTCCTTGAAAATATTGAACTTTTCTTTTAAAAGTTCGCTCAAATTTGGTAAATCAAGATGAAAAATCTTATTCCTAGAATATATCATTGAAATCAAAAGTGAAATCTGTTTGATTTCCATTTAAAATTAAAAGTGTAAACTTTTAAAATTAGAATAGGTTGACTTTCAGTGTGCATTGATGCCAATTCCATGCGTCAGTCTTTTACCAACATCCTCATCGGAATTTCCAACGATATTTAATTTTTAATTTTAATTGATCAATCTTTCCCACGGTCTTTTCTAAAATCTGTTTTTTACTTAAATTCGTTATTTCAGAAAAAGAACTAGAGTATGAAGACCTGAAACAAGTTTCAATAGCAGATGTAAATTAACTGTTTGAACGGGAGAGAAGTTCCGACTACTGAACAAACTACGTAATTGGCCCTCATCTGCACAGTACCAGCCTGCTAAAGAAATTTGCTCTAAACTTAACTTCGCCAAGTCACAGGTTCAAGCGCAAGACCTCGACAGATTATTAAACGTTAACGAGAAAAGAAAAATAATAATGCGATATTACAGTAAATACCAAACTGTAAACAAAGTGATGCAAAAAGAACTCAGTCAGATTATAGTCGACTCGTATATATCGCACAAGGGAATAATTTCCCAGTCGTTGATATGGACAAATTCGCAAAACTTATCGTTGTTAAACTTGGCTCTGAAAGAAAAGTACTCTGCTAGTTTTGTTATAGACAATTTCCGTTATGATTGGTTCTAATTTGGCACATTTTAATTTTTTCAGGAAACTTATCTGTGTCCGCGTGATAAATCTATCGGAAAGATAAATCCGTCAGGTCTGTTGTATCATCAGTACTATAACTCAAGTGACCGGAAAGCTCTCCAGTCACCACTCAAGAAGAAAGTGAAACTGCAAAACTCCAACGAAAGTGACGTATCCAATCAAAAGTACGGCCCTGAAGGTAAATATATCGACAGTGAGCATGCATAAGGGCGTAAACGCGATGATCGATTCTCTTCGTCGATTTTCTCTTTTGTTAATAACTCGCTAGATTTAACGTTTCTCGGTACGTTTGCTGTTGCTTTTGATAGGCAATACAACCTGTTACAACTGTACATTAAACAAGTTTTAGAAAATTGTTTCGCTTATCTCTTTGATCGATTCTCTTCATCGACTTTCTCTTTTGACAACTAATGCTATGCAAACAGATTTCAAGCTATTTTTACCACATGGTTTGATAAAGGAGATTCTTATCTAGCGTTCAAAACGTCAAATACAACAGGGAATGGCTTTGCAGCTGAGTTAATAACGAAAGAGAAAGTCGATGAAGAGAATCGGTCAATGCAGATAGGATATTTTGATTATGACCAAGCTCTTGATGTGAATGTTACTAAACATTTGCAGGGAAAGCTTTGAACTCTCTACCAAAAAGAACTAATGGTGTGTGGGTAGAGAATATTTTTCGGCTTCCTTTCAGTTTATCCTTCTTTCCTTCTACTGCTGTCAGTTCTGAGTCGACCTGCAGAGTCACTTGGTTGGAAGAACTTACACTCGTTCGACAATCTGTATGTAGGTGATAATGGCTATTTTGATTCTGTGGGGCTCGCGCGAGTGAATGAATTTTTCCCATGCTTGGGTGCGTTAAGATTTTCCAGATAAAATAAACTTGATAACGTTTTTTTACCATTCATTTGCTATAAACAATATTTTTGAGAATTATGAAAGCATTATATGGTATAACCAATCATCAATTCGAAACTAACGATTTTAAATTGGCTTATTACATGACTAGCCCATTGATCCCAAGCATCGTTGCTATTAATCTGTAGTGGATACAAAATTGAATAACTACGGTACCGGGCATAGATCAGTGCACGGTCCCTAACCTCACTTTTTGCTCCCTATCATTTTGCTTCTGAGTAAAAGAGATAGCAACGAATGGGAGCCAAAACAAACCACCCAAAACTGTCAAAGCTTACGGGTGAGAGAAGAGTGCGGCAAATCTTCGTGAACTGATCAATGCAAGCGGGGCACTCAGTATAAGAGATCGAGCATGCCTCTCACATTTTTTCGGGGTACTGAGAGAGAAGAAGAGAGTAAATAATCTCCTCTTCTTGGGAATTGAATGATGGTTCTCAATGTTGAGAAAATAGTTGTGAGGTGGTGCGTCATTGTATATAAACAATGTTCTTCTCAGTACCTAGTGTTAAAAGTTTAGTGAATTTAGTCATCCGAAGATATTTTTGCAGTTCGATTAGTGCTTTCCTATGCGATGGTTAACCCTCGTAAGTATTTGATATTGATATAGCTGAGCATGAAACTACTTCCTGTTGGTCACGTATCTTCCAGTGACTCCCCCAGTCCTGAGAGAGCAAGTCTATTGGCACTTTGGAGATTTGACATTGAATCGTCAGACCAGAGAGGAACGACTCGACCGTCGGGATCGCCTATCCGGACTCCGTTGGATGTGGGCCTGCGACGGAGAAGTTCCGGAAAACGCAATCCCGGCTGGAAGGTCAGGTAGTCGAAGATTCTACATTGGAAGGGCACACTACGAGGGATCGGTAACCCCGGGTCGAATCGATACGAAACGAAAAGTATGCAGTATTCCTTGGGGTGGCGATGAGCACATGAGGAATGTGTATGAGGTACTTTGCACACCTGGACAGTTCCTTAGTGTAGCTGCAGACAATACGGAAACACTACTGCTGGCCAGCTCGGCCGGTATGTCCGAAGAAGGAGAACCACTGTTTATTGGCCGTGTTCAACATAAAGGAGAATTAGTATATGGAAAGGTTCAGCGTTCGCATGGCGTTTGTTATATTGCTTATGAGGGTAAAGAACTGGGTTTTAAGAATTATGAATTATTCGTAGCTAATGTACCGAGTCGCCTTGATGATCACTACTGGCTGAAGAACGATGGTGATAAAATTCCAAATCAAGCCACTGTTGGTGGAGGTACCGTACATAAGCCGCTTTACATCGGTCGCGCAAAATACCGTGGATCTCTCACACCTGGCTCGGTCGATCCTACCATTTGGCGGTGCAACATTGCATGGGGTTCGGATGAGCACCAGAAGATGCAATACGAGTATCTATGTAACTGTAAGAGGGGAAGATTTGTGAAATCTCAAGGAAATCATGTGCCGATCGGAGCTATCCGGGGTGGATATTCGGAATACGGAGATCCACTTTTCATCGGGCGCGTTAAGGTTAAAAATGATTATATCGTAGGGAAGGTTCAGCCGTCGCACTCCGTTTGCTATATCCCTTACCGTGGGAAAGAAGTGGCCCATAAAAAGTATGAGGTACTAGTACGAACCGACTGACGGAGGCGCAGCACTGATAGATATTGGGAATATATTTTACTTGGGTGAACATGATTAATACAATACAACCCCTGCTTGTTGTGAATAAATAAATCTAATAAATTATCGCTATTCATATTCAGTAAAAACGAATTTTTTATCAGCTATGCAGGAAAAAAATATTTTATTCAAAATTCTTATCACATGCCATGATAGATAACAAGCAAGTAGGTAAATTAGTCAATCGCCTAGCTGTAATTTGTGCAAGAGTTAACACTCCGAACACGATGCCTCCGGTAAAATGTGTAACGGTAAACTTGCAATGTTTGAAAAATCATAACTCAGCTATTTATTGACGAATTTCAAATCTATTGGCACCAATTGAAACTACAGACTTTAAAAATGTATTCGATATGAATAGATTTAAAATAAATTGCTGAACAAAGATTTTTCAAACATTACCAAATTGCCGTTACACATTGTACCGTGCCCCCGGTAGCTTGTTCGGAGTGTTAATAAAGAAAAACTGTGTAGACCTATAATATGGTAACAACAAGAAAGTAAACTGCTCAGTTGACTAGAAATGTCGTTTTTCAATAGTTTATTTTTTAAATATTTTTTAAATGATAGCGATGCATTTAAAAATTCTCAGCTGTCCATTCCCCCGTATCGGTGCATATTCTAGTACTGCATTGCCAGCTGTAGCAACAATCCGTCAAACGTGACGCACCTCAAACAAAACAGAGCCCGAAAATAATAACAAAGCTGAACAAAAGAAAATATCACTTTTGCAGATTCATTGAAAAATTCGAGCGTAGAAGACTTTCGGAAATACTTTCGTGTGTGAATCATTGTGTTGCAGTTCCCTCAGGATCGAAGAAATGCTGTGCTCTTGGTGTTGAGTGTTGTGGTGAAACGAGAGTAAACAAAATCTGTAGCAAAGAACAACTTCCTTGGGTGGCCATCGAAGCTGTCGTCGTCCCATATTGTGGCCCGAGCCAATGTTATCAGTGGAGGTAGCAAAAAGCTGGGCCTAGCGATCATGGATTACATGTTGGATGCATACGTGGGATACGACATCGGATCCATTGAACCGGATGATATTCCCAGAACGGACGACGTGGTCTGGGTACTGGCCAAGCGATACAATGCAACCGAAGGTGAGTAAAGATGCTCTCTGTTGGTGATGACCTTCCGATTATTGTTTTGGGGTGAATCTGCTTGATTACTATTGAGCTTTCTTTATGTTTGTTACTTCTTTGCGGCGCTACTATATTTACGACTGTGGCCTATTGAAACGATTGAAACTAATACGTATGTATAGCTCATAAGCAACTTACGAATGCTCGTCAAGGAAGGATGCGCGACGATTTAATAATGTATGGGATATGAGCTGTATTATTTGCATTATTGTAAGTGATGACGGCATTCTGTAGAACACCAAATTCTATTTCTAGGACGGTGAGCTTCTTAATCTAATCAATTACATTCGAATTATTCTAAACTGTTGGTTCTTGACCATAAGTGGTTTATGGCTTCAGCGATGCATGCAAATACGATGTTTATAATTAATGTGCATCATAATGTTTGAAGCAACCCTAACCTATTGGAAAAGTTCTTCAAAACATTGCAGAAATGCGAATGATATATAATGTATTCTAATAGTTGCAGCGTTTCTCAAAATTCCTCTTGGAACTCGAATATTTCTCAAATGTATACTCTTCTGTTTTTATAGGAAAGTTCAGCTTTTCAATCTTGATACACAAAATTCTTGTCGACTTGTAAAGGGGAAAATACCTTAGTTAGTTCTACGTTTTGCAGAAGTTTTCGGAATATTTGGAAGTATTCAGTATTATTAAAAGACCCCTAATTCATTTCCTTTGGAAATTGCTGGAAGTCGAAAAAATATGAAATTCCCATAAAAATGCAAGGATTTTTGAGCTGTCGATGTCAACTAATGCATGAATTTGTACTCATGAACAGTTCCACGCCAACTGACGAATCGATGTTATTTTTCCCTCTTCGAATTCCATTAAACTTCGCTTAATTGTTCACTAGAGGCATATGGCATATTCGAATTTTTTCAATAAATCATAGCACGTAAATGGCTTATCTAATCAAAATTATGTCTGATACAAACTTGTAGGAAATTCGATTGCTTTTTCAGAAATAAACAGGTACACCCTGAAAAAAAACATCACAAAATTTCGTAAAAAAAAACTGTTAAAAGCTTCCAGAACAAAAAAGTACATTTTTAAGATTAACTTATGTCCATTTGAAAGGTTATCAAAAATGCTAACTTTTCTTAAATGGACACTTTAAGATTGACCAAAATCGTGAAACACAAACTTTTGGTATTTTTTAAACTTTTTATTCATGCATTATTGATGTGATGTGTGCATAGTAAACGATTTTCTGGACTAAAAAAAAATGTTTTCTGCAGAAAAAAGTATACAAATTATTTGCGGAAAAAAGTTCCAAATGTTTACTAAAAGTAGTTTATGTTTTCACTATGTGAAATGAAATTCTGAGATGTAAAAACCAAACATTTGTTTATGTTTTCACTATGTGGCCTGAAACTGCCGTCATGCAACTAATTCCAGCAAGAATCATTCAATTATTCAAAATTCAATAATTCTTTAACATAAATCCTACACCATCATTTTTTTTTAATTTTAATTCCATAGATCTGGATCTGATCCGCCGCGACGTGCAAACCCGCCTGTGGTGCACCTATCGACGTGGCTTCGTTCCGATCGGTGGCTCGCAACTGACCACCGACAAAGGCTGGGGCTGTATGCTGCGCTGCGGTCAGATGGTCCTAGCACAGGCGCTCACCCAGCTGCACCTGGGGCGCGAATGGATCTGGACACCGGAAGCCAAAGACGAAACCTATCTCAAGATAGTAAACCGTTTCGAAGACAGCAAAGCGGCGCCCTTCTCGTTGCATCAGATCGCTCTTACTGGGGAGTCATCGGAGGAGAAACGAGTTGGCGAGTGGTTCGGACCGAACACGGTAGCACAGGTTCTAAAGTGAGTATCGTCCATCGTGGCAAAGGGTTGAAGGAAAAATTGCATTCCTATTATTTTCTCACTTTTAGAAAACTAGTAAAATTCGACGATTGGTGCGGTTTGGTAGTCCACGTTGCTCTCGACAATACTCTAGCCACGGATGAAGTTTGTGAGTATACTTGTCACTGATCAATTCAAAATAATCGCAGATAATATTCGTCTCAAATTTTAGTGGAACTTTGCGTGGAAAAATCAAACCCGGATAGCTGGAAGCCACTGCTTCTGATTATACCGCTACGATTAGGCCTTAGCGAAATCAATCCCATCTACGTCGATGGTCTCAAAAAGTGCTTCGAGCTAGCAGGAAATTGCGGCATGATCGGTGGCCGTCCCAATCAGGCCCTCTATTTCATCGGTTACGTTGCCGATGAAGCCCTCTACCTGGACCCGCACACTGTCCAGCGGAGCGGTACAATCGGAACCAAATCCGATCAGGAAGAGAAGGAGCTAGACGAATCGTTTCACCAGAAGTACGCTCGGCGGATTAATTTCAAAGGAATGGATCCATCGCTGGCGGTGTGTTTCCTGTGCACGACAAGAAAAGACTTTGATGATCTGATGCAACGTTTCAACGAGGAGCTGAACGGTGGGACATGTCAGCCGCTATTTGAAGTGACCAAAACACGGCAAGCACCCTGGACACCCACGACGGCATCGTCGGGTTCCTCGCGGAAGAACAGTGAACCTAACGACACGTTCAACGAAATTTCCGCCACGGAAATACAGAATGAAGGTAAGCGGTATCACTCGATTGAACTACCTCTTCGACGTTCAACATACAATTTATTTCATTCACAGAGTTCGAAGAAGTGGAAACCCGACAGCTGGACGACTCGGACGAGGAGTTTGAGATCATTGTGTAACGGATGGCTTGCTTCTAGGGAAATAAGACTTGTATAATATAGATTGGTTAGGCTTCTAAGAGTTAAGAAAGGAACGCAACTAGGTTCGGCAGAAGGTCTAGATTGGAAGATAAAATAAAAAATGCAAAAGTGCTTTAAACCCGGAACAGAAACAACTGACCCAGCTAGGCTTTAGCGCTCGCTGATAGTAGATTTTAATCGTTTCAATCGTTTGTTTTGTGTCGTCTTTGTTTGTTTCTGCAATTTTAGGTAAGTGCAGCATCATCTCTTTGCTAGGTATAAAGTATGCGGAATATATTTACATTTTAGTGATCCGAATCTGATTTTGTACCGGCCCTATTTACCATATCCAAATTTGTACAACGTGTTAGTCACATTTTATCATTTTTTATATAAAGTTCACGAACATTTCCCTAAAAAAACCTAACTTTTATTCGATACTGATAAAATGATTTGTAACAAAAGTGAAAATAAACGAAACTTTCTTGTTCACAAGCAGCAAAACAGAATTTTCAATATCACTCAGTTGAGCTTTTGTTGTTGTTGTTGTTGTGTTGATGTTTAAAAGCTTTCTTTCAAATATTCGAAGAGAGCGGTGCCGGTGGTGTAGTGGTAAGCGTGATTGCCTCTCACCCCAGTAGGCCTGGGTTCAATCCCAGTCGGCGCCGCCGGGATGTTCTGAGGCATAACATCTGATCACGCCTTCCTTCGGAAGGGAAGTAAAGCCGTTGGTACCCAATGACATTTATATAAGGTCTGGGCCAACAGGCAGCTTGCTGGTGTTAGAAGCAAAAATGTTGTAAACATTGCTGAACATCTGCACAGATAGATATACGTCACTGCCAACATACTGAGAACAGATAGAAATACGTCACTGCCAACAGCTGTTTCGTGTAAAAAGATAAACATTGCAATATAATACGAACATCACTAACCATTTGCACATTTCACTAACACCAATAAGCCCTTTGGCCCAGACCTTATATAAACGTCATTGGTTGGTACCCGGTTCATGAGTTTGATGGGTCGATATGTGTAGGGTCCAGGTGTGGGAGCTTGCCTCCCTGGCGTCGGTAGCATTGATGCTCACACTGAGCGAATTTACCATGTCGTCATTGCATGATTACCCGCATAAACGCGAACCATAAATTGACCTTACCAAAAATGGTTAAAAATTGTTTATAATCCCTGCTAAACTTCAACTGAAATGGTTATGGAACTTTACAAGAACGTTTAATGATAAAGTTTTAACCTTATGTATTATGGTTTTTTGGAAGCGAACCTTACAAATAATGAGTTGTTAAGAACCATTACCATTCAAAATTCTTGTTTTCTCCATATATTTTCGGGAGGAGGACTATATTAGAACCTTTTAACTTATGGTTTGAGAACATTAATGGTTATGGTTATGGTAGTCAGTAAGGTCCATGAATAGTTTTGTAACATCGATCAACTTTATGTGGAATATATTGCGAATTGGTTGCCTGTAAATTACTGATTACCAATTCGCGATATATTCCACGTAAAGTTGAGCGATAAAACAAAACCATTAATGGACCTTACTGACTATCATAACCATAACCATTAATGTTCTCAAACCATAAATAAAAACGTTCTAATATAGTTCTCTTTTCGAAAATGTATGGAGAAAACAAGAATTTTGAATGGTAATGGTTCTTAACAACCCATTATTTGTGAGGTCCGCTTTCAAAAAACAATAATACATAAGGTTAAAACTTTATCACACAAACGTTCATGTAAAGTTCCATAATCATTTCAGTTAAAGTTTAGGAGGGATTATAAACAATGTATAATTATTATCGGTAAGGTCAAGTTATGGTTCGCGTTTATGCGGGTAATCATTCAGAGCTATCCGATTTCATTAACATCGAAAATAATATGAGATACCCGATTGACTGATAATTGACATTAAATGGGATGATTCATCATAAATATCATAAAAGAAACTAACATCAACCACTTAATGAAGTACCGTTCAAATTTTGAAAGGTATTAACAAAAAATGAATTCAAGAACAGAAATGAAGTAAAATCATCCAAGTTAGCCCCATGACGAAAATCATACAACAACTGTCATGCGATTCATATCGTTCCAGTTTCCCGTTGCGTTTTGGCTTCGCCATTTTATATTCGCAGCTGGATGAACGCGCACTGAGCAAAGGGGCAACATTCGCAGTTTTTGGTGGCTCCCAGTGATCGAAAAATTGGTGAAAATTAGTGAAAAACTGTCGCAAAGTGGTGCAAAATTACTGCCGGAAGCCGCGGGAAGCAGCTGGTGCCAAGTGTGACCGCAGAAAAGGTGCATTTCAGTGCACCGCAGTGCTAGCCTTTCTCCGCTGCTTTTTGGCTGGTTATTTTTTTCCTATCCGTGAGCTTCCGAGAGTGTGTGTGGTGTGCGTGGGGTTTCGTCCGACGGACGGACAGAACAAGATAAAAAGCAGCTAGAAGCTAACAAGCAATTCCGATTGCAAAGTGAACAGCTAGGGTACGGACGGACAGGGAGCGAAGAATAAAATTGTCCGCCTGCCATGGCTGCCCCGTAGAAGCTGGCGCTGGCTGATCCTGCCTTGATGCTGCTGCTGAATTGTTGTCCGGTGCAAGGTGTGGTGTGGGTTTTTTTTTTCTGTCGGAAAGGAACTGTTGTAGGACGAGAGACCACCGAAGAATTCGGAATAACACTATCCGGTGGACGGGAAGACCAGCCAGGAGACCGGTAAGCGATGATGATCTTTTTGTTTGTGGTAGATATCACGATGGAACCATCTATGGCGAGTTTTTTTTTAATGGAAAACATCGAGAAAAAAAACTGTTCCAAAACCCCCCACGAAATATTTCGACCGACTCCACTTTTCCTCAAGTTATTGAACATCATTAATAATATATATCTTTCCAATCCTAGGAATCAGATGCAGGAGTACCTTCCCAAGGAGACCAACGACTTCCGCTAGCTGTGAGATTCTTCAGTCATTACAAAACATTGACCCCATGGCACTGAACTTCGTGCTTGACCTCCACAAGCGACGCAACATAACACGGAAGGATGTTTTTGATGTCCAGACTAGCGTCAAGAAATTATATAGTTACCTTGAAAACCTGATCCGCTCCATAGTACCTTTGCAGGCATGAGACCCACAAACACAGTATATTACAGACGTTTATCTACAAAACATGTCTTCAATGTTTAATTGCATTGATACAGAGCACAAGTTCTTTAAGTTTCTTATAGAGGCGGACCTTTTCAGTAAACCGAGAGTATTTATTGCTAAAAACGGTAGTATCGATGAAGCAGGAAGTGACACGAACATCAAAACTACACATTTAATCTTAATGAACTTAGAGTTTCAAATCAGAAAATTTCTCGAAACCGAAGATGTGCTGTCTGAAATAATTAAAAATATGTACAATCTAAGGAAAACAAGTAATAGATATTGCAATTTTGTCAACGGAGCGCTGTATCAAAACAATGTAATGACAATTTTCGATGGCCCTCCTTTTACATTAGAAGAAATGGGAAGAAAAGTTATGTTTCGCAGAAAAATATATTAAATAAATGAATAACACTATTGTCCAACTTGTAAAACAAAAGCGTTTCATTTACAACATTAATTTACTGTTCCAACGATTTAGGACAGATATATTTTGTTATGATCACAATTTTTAAACTGTAAAATAAGCTTTCTTCTTTTTATATATTTTTCATTCAGATTGCACTTATATTTCATTTGAACGTTGCATGACAATTTATTTTGAAATTGTATGACGAGTCCGTATCATTCTCAATGTTAATCATACGGTTTGTTCATTGCAAGTCTTCCTAAGAATGGATGATAATCATGCTGATTTAGAACTGATGGTTTACAGTGTGCAGAATGAAAATCATCCTGTTTTAGAATTGATGCTATTCAGTTCTTCTGTGCTTTGAAAGCTGAATCAGAGAATGATAATCTTTCTCAAATAGAAAAATAATCCGTATGGGGCTCAAGTGAAGCAATAATCATACATTCATGTGTGGACAATTTGGTTCAGTGCAGTAGAGTCGGTGTATAATGAGTCACGCCAAGAGTGAAGCCAAGTCTACCTATTGAACTGTCAAATCGGCTACCTATCGTGCAAAATAAATAAACATTACGATGCTATGAAAGGTCTACGAAAGGTATTGCAATGAAATATAAAATAAAATTGAAGAAATCATCATAAACACGCAGCGAGCATTAAATGGTCATGGGATACGTTTGGTTTTGATCAGTACTGAGAATTTCTACTATTTTTTGATAAGATAATTTGACAAAATCACTGATATTATGATTCACTACAGCCGTTATTTTTGGTTCTCGCTAGAAGTCATTTAAAGTTGATGTAGAAGTCCTCTGTTGCCAAGTGAAAAGAAAGGGAATCTTTCGGAAACCGTGATGCGAGTTCAACTGTTTTTCTCTTGGCGTGACTCATTATACACCGACTCTAATGCTCAGCACGGAAAACAAGATCAACAAAAAAATATTCGAAGAGTGGATTTCGGGTATATTTCACTCCAGTGGCACAAAAGTCATCCAAGAATTGGTTCGATTAAACGTCAGTTATTGACAGCTGATGTAAACATTACGAGTTTCAGCTCCGTTTATGCGTTTGTTTGGCCGTTCAACCATGATAACGTTGTGGTACCTATTGATGAAAATTTATTAAGTGATTAGCGATTGTTCTCTCGGTGTTTTTCATTAGGGTTTCTATGCATGAAAATGATTTCACGGTGGCTTCAATTATCAATGACCGTCCTATCGGTTGGTCATACTCGGATGGGTGTAACTCATCGCTATGTCATGATGATGTTAACGTATTACCGAAGCTCAAAATCATTCCAACATCAACGCCACCGCTATCACTGACGGCAGTCCCATCTGGAAAAAAAACAGCAAGCAGAGAAAAACGCTGTTGAAAATGAATTCCTCCACATGCTCTTATGTATGGATCAACCTAGTTTGGTATTTTTGATAAAACACGACATAATTCCGACCTTTTAATTAGCTACGGGTGTGACAACAATGATGAGTTCACTATGTTATATCTTCATTTTATTTCAGCAACCTTATCTTCCAGCAGACAGCAATTTCAACACTTATAAAAAATATCTAAATTTGCCAGCAACACTGACTGGGTGTATCCTATGGCTTACCTTCCCTACTAACATAATTCCTAAATTCCCGAGACATTTATGAGGGGTCGTAGAGTTCTCTGCATCTCTCTTAAGTAAATGTTGGACTAACATACCTTTCCTATCCCTACCAGTTGTAAGGACGTGGCCAGGACAATCCTTAACTGTTGGAGCAGGATATGTCTTTATCTGGGAGATAGTAATTATTTCCTACTTACTATCTGTCCAGTAATAGATATCCGTCTTGCTCTTAATAGTTTTGAATTCATACCACATACGATTTTGTGCAACTTGTTCGATTCTAATGCTAAT